TAACCTCATATGCATGTGAAAGCTGGACAGTGAATAAGGAAGACCATAGAAGAACTGATGCTTTTGAGTTATGGTACTGGAGGAGAATATTGAAAGTGCCATGGGCTGCCAAAAGAACCAACAGATCTGTGTTGGAAGAAGTGCAGCCAGAGTGCTCCTTTAGAGGCCAAGATGGCCAAACTTCATCTCTCATACTTTGGACATATTGTCAGAAGGGACCAGTCACTGGAGAAGGATATCATATTTGGTAAGGTGGAGGGTCAGAGAAAAAGAGGAAGATACCCAATGAGATGGATTGGCTGAGTGGCAGCACCGATGGACTCAAGCGTGGCAACAGTAGTGAGGTTGGTCCAGGATCGGGCATTGTTTCTTTCTGCTGTGCATAAGGTCGCTATGGGTTGGTACCAACTCTATGGCACCTAACTACAACAACAACACCTCATAGTGGTTTCCAAGACTATCATTTATATGGAAACTAACTGCCTCATCTTTGATGGGTTTGAACTGTCAACCTTTCGGTAGTCAAGTTTTAACCACTGTGTCATCAGGGCTCCTTAGATGCTATAGGGGTGGTGGTGGTATGCTGTGGAGTCGGTTCCAACTCTGTACATCTTTATGGGAACAGAAAGTCTCATCTTTCTCCTACAGAACGGCTGGTACTTTTGAACTGCTGACCTTAAGGTTAGCAGCCCAACTTGTAACCACTATGCTACCAGAGCTCCTTAAGATGGTATACTAACATTATAATGAATATTATTTTTCTAATGGCACTATAGGATAAACACTTGACCTCAAGGTCAGTTTGAACCTCAAGTTTGAAAATTCAAACTCCCAGTCACTTCTCAGAAACCCCATACAGGGTCACTGAATCAGAACCAACTCGATGGCACTGAACAACAATAATAACAAGAGAAGTAAGGATCCCTAGTATTTTATTGGATTATGAGCTGGGTTGCTAACCACATGTCAGTATTTTGAATCTACCAGTCACTCCTTGGGATAAAGATGAGGCTTTCTGCTCCTACAAAGATTTACAACCTTGGAAACCCTATGCAGGGTTTCTATGAGTCAGTACCAACTCGATAGCACACACCCACCCACCACCAAGGAAGGTGGTATTAGAGATGATCTCTTTTTCTTCTTTTTGTAATTGTGTATTTTCTAAATCCTGACAGTGAACACATTTTAACTTTGGGGTCAGAAAAAACACAGTGTTAACAGCTGGATATGTTAGCATTTGTCCATTCCTGAGACCTAGCCCCTGACTCACTGTTGAGTTAGCACTGCCAGAAATAAACCTCCTAGGAGAATGCTGTCAAGTCCTTGCTGAGTCTTATTGACCCTGTACAAGGTTTCCAAAGAGGGAATGGTGAGTTTGAACTGCTGACCTTGTGTTTCAAACTGACTTTGTGGTCCAGTGCTGATCCTAAAGCGCCACACCAGGACTTCAGAAGAAAAATAAGTCTATGCAAATGAGGGCAGAGCAGCAAATGTTCAAGGATGCCAAAAAATCTGGAAGACAACTATGTGGCCAACTGATTGGAAGAGATCCATATTTGTGCCCATTCCAAAGAGAGGTGACTCAATGGAATGTGGAAATCATTGGACAATCTCTTTGATATCCTATACAAGTAAAGTTTTGCTAAAGGTAATACTGAAATGGTTGCAAGCATACATTGATAGAGAACTTGCAGAGGTTCAAGCCGGATTCAGAAGAGGCTGTGGAACGAGGGATATCATTGCTGATGTCTGCTGGATCTTGGCTGAAAGCAGAGAATATCAGAAAGATGTTTACTTGTGCTTTATTGATTGTGTGACTCATGACAGGCTATGGACAACATTGTGAAGTATGAGTATTTTGGAACACTTAATTGTGCTCATGAGGAATCTGTACCTGGACCAAGAGGCAGTTGTTTGAACAGAACATGGGAACACTGAATAGTTTAATATTAAGAAAGGTGTGCAACAAGGTTGTATTCTTCCACTATACTTATTCAACTTGTATGCTGAACAAATAACCCAAGAAGCTGGGTTCTATGAAAAAAACGTGGCATCAGGATTGGAGGAAGACTCATGAACAACTTGAGATATGCAGATGATACAGCCTTGCTTGCTGAAAGTGAAGAGGACTTAAAACATTTTACTGATGAAGATCAAAGAACACAGCCTCTGGTATGGATTGCATCTCAATGTCAAGAAAACAAAAAGCCTCACCACTGGACCAATAAACAACATTCTTATCAACAAAGATTGAAGTTGTCAAAGACTTCATTCTTCTTGGATCAACTATCGATACTCACAAAACAGCAGTCAAGAAATCCAATGACATATTGCATTAGACTAATCTGTTGCACAAGACCTTTTTTAGTATTGAAGAACAAAGATGTCAGTTTGAGGATTAAGGTGCTCCTGACCCAAGCCATGGTATTTTCAATAACCTCATATGCATGTGAAAGCTGGACAGTGAATAAGGAAGACCAAAGAAGAATTGGTGCTTTTGAGTTGTGGTGTTGGAGGAGAATACTGAAAGTGCCATGGGCTGCCAAAAGAACCAATAGATTTGTGTTGGAAGAAGTACAGCCAGAGTGCTCCTTGGGTGCCAGGACGGCCAAACTTCATCTCTCATACTTTGGACATATTGTCAGGAGAGACCAATTGCTAGAGAAGGATATGATGTTTGGTAAGGTGGAGGGTCAGAGAAAAAGAGGAAGACCCCCAGTGAGACGGATTGGCCAAGTGGCAGTATTAATGGGCTCAAGCATGGCAAAAATAGTGAGGTTGGCCCTAGATCGGGCAGTGTTTCATTCTGCTGTGCATAAGGTCGCTATGAATTGGTACTGACTCGTTGGCACCTAACAACACATGGAATCCTGGCTTTGTGCTATAGAATAAGCATTGGACCACCAGGTCTGTTTGAACCACAAGGTCAACAGTTCAACCTTGCCAACTGCTCCACGGAAACCCTACTGGAAAGTTTTGCCCTTTTGGAACAAGTTTGCTATGAGTCCAAACTGATTCAATGGAAGTTAACAACTACAATTTGGAGATCTTGTGAAAATGTGGATTCTGGATCAGTATATCTGAGGTGGAAATACAAATTCTCAACAGGGGATTGAACTGGAATACAGCAGTTCAAAGCCCCGATTAAAAAGCAGCTTTGTTGTCAAGTGCAATCAAGTGGGTTCCAACTCATAGCCACCCTGTATGGGGTTTCTGAGAAGTGATTGGTGAATTTGAATCACGGACCTTAGGGTTAGCAATCCAGTGCTTAAGCATCTTACAACACCGTTCTAAGACAGCCATGGGTACTTTTGTCTGTGCTACAATTATCTGCAGTTAAGGATCGCCCTTTTTTGGTTTTTTTTTTTTGGTCTGGCAGGCTGATTGACTTTTGGTTCAGCTCATGGTAGGATCTGAGTGTATCCTGTGGAGATTCTCACGGCTCACAACCATGAGCCACTGAGTAGTGCTTGATGTCTGCTGATGACTCAGGGTACACAGCTCCCTGAGCACCAGTGCAAGAGGGATGTGATGATACCGTTTAATAAAATGCCCTTGAATCCTCACCCTCAGACTGACTCATCACTGACTCTTGTATCTGCAATAATTCTTGCACGCATTGTTCTCCCCTTTCATCTCATCCCTGCTTTCTTCTCCTGCAAACTCCCTTAGAAGTAGAGGAATTCTACAGTGATGGTTGGCCAGTTGTGAGTGGGCAAACCCTAACTATCTGGTTGACATGTGTTGGTGGTGACTGCTGAGTGCCCGTTCGGTTCACTGTAGTACAGCGCTAATCCTTGTATCCATCCCTGTGAACTGATGAGGGTCTTTTCTCCCATTATTTTTCTAGTGCGAAAATCCAAAGCAGCTGATGAGAAGAGACGGTCCTTGGCTAAACAAGCTCGGGAAGACTATATGAGGTTATCCCTTGCAGCCCAAAAAGGAAGAAGTAGTGAAGGACTGCGAAGTCCTCTGAGTGTTGAACAGAAACCTAAAAGACCCCCACTTCCACCCAAGCCTCAGTTTTTAAACCCAGAAGCATACTCGATAAGACCTCTTAGGTAAGAAGCTACACAGATGGCTTTTGGTATAAGTGTCTAAATGGGATGATTAAGGACAAATCACATGACTAGCCATGGGGACTGGAAGACCAACTGGCAGTCTATGTAATTAAATCCAGCCTCACCTCCAACCCTGTCGTCCTGAGATACTTAGTTAGGGATTTATTCTGTCTTATCTGTAAAATGTCCACACCTGTTGTTATTAGTATTCCCAAGAATTTCATGAATATGAGCTATGAGTTATTATGTACTTTGCACATTGGCAGTGGACTTGGATGCTGCCTCTTTTCTGTGGTCCTTCTCTCCCCATGAGCTGGTTTGCTGATTATTGATAACTTCCTGTGTCTCTCCCCCCTCCTCATCATGCCTGGTGGTAGCAGGTAAGCTGATGTAGAAGTAAAGGAAATGGTTGAGGTTTCATCAGTGCCCAAGAAAAAAAAAAACATCAAAGTAGGAACCTAAGGGTTTGTTGACTTTCATTTGATGAGTAGGGACTACACTTCCATGAGGGTTAGAGGTTTAATGTAATCCTCATTCTGGGATAACGGGCCAAGGTTGTAATTTAAGAATTTAGAAATTCTTCTGTTTTTAATGCAATCTCTATTTGGTGACAATAGTACTTTTGCCTGCTATGCTGTGGGGAAATTAGAAAGAGAAGTTTGGCTTGGCAAGTCCCTGTATTAAATACAGTAATATCATAGCAATAAACCCTATCTCTGATGTTTACTGATTGTAAAAATTATTTTATAAAATTATATTGTTTTTATATTCTAGTATAAAAGATACAGAAATCTAGTTAGAAAGAAAATACTTAAAATCAAATATTTTGTTTTGAACATTTGAATGAAACAATCAATAGCCTTGCATCCTGAAATAGAAACTCCTAAATGTATTTCTTTGCTAAGGACTGTGAAGAAATGAAAAAACAAAAATCTTCTTTTGCTTGGATCAATAACTGTCTTCAAGGTGTTTTAATAACAGGGGTTATGATCTTAGAGGAAATATGAAGGTAGAACATTTTCTCTACTACAATTATTTTTGCTTACTCAATTGGAAATTTCCATCTTGAGACTTGGAAACCAATACTTAAATGACCATGTTCTACCAAGTGATAGTTTGGGAAGTGATTGTTTGTTCTTTCTTTGTTGTGGGCAACAAAATAAGAAAGTCAGGAAGGGGACGGTTCCTTGCAGTTTAGTGAACAGGTCATAGGAGATGGATGAGACTTTTGAACATGCCCCCTCCAGGGCTGACACTTGGTTGTGTGCACATTGACCGCAGACTCTCAGCAGGGCTGTTTTCTGGTAACTTACTCCTGTTCTATGCTCTCCCCAGGTAGCAGAGAAAGACAGCTTTCAATAGGCTCCTTTCCCATAGCATTTCTTACAGTACAGTGTATTTGATTGACAGCAATGAAGGCAACCTTTAAAAAGGGCAATTCTTGTTTCAAGCTGTGTCATAGCTAATTTTTTCTAACTTAAAACACAGCATGAAGTGCTTTTTGTGATTCCTGGTTCCTCCACTGTCTGGAGTTTTATTCAATCTCCAAGGAATTCACAAAGAAAAAGAACTTAATTCAGAAGCTAGTACGAGAACCTACCTACCATATAATATCATATGCTCATGTATGCACATGCAGTGTCTAATTCTCAGGGGAGTCAAAGAATATTTCCTCCAAAGCACTGTGCAAATCATGAGGGATATACAAACACATGCACCTATCTATACACATATAGGTGGGTATACTCATATACACAGGAGTGCTGGTGGTCTAACTGAAAGATCAATGGTTTAAACCTACCAGCCACTCAGAGGGAGAAAAGTGTGGCCGTTCTAGTCTAGTTTATAGCATTGCTATGAGTTGGAAGTGACTCATGACAAGCGAATACACATATACAGGCACATGTGTACATACAAGGGGGCTTCAACAAGTTCGTGGACAAATGGAGTTAAAAGATAATGAAATATACAAGGTGGCTTCAAAAATTTACGGGAAAGTGCCAGTATCTTTCAATTCCATTTTTTCATGAACTTTCTTAAACCCCCTTATATAAGATATATAGCTTATGGAACGCATGGTAGCATATGTCCACAAAAAGCATAAAGAGCCATAATTACATGATAGGAATTTCAGTAGATCATCCAAATTGGTTGTTGTTGTTTCAAAATTGAATTCTGCTCAAAATGAGTGGGCTGTTGAATGAGTCTTGGAAATATGTTTGTTACATTGCAATGTTACTGTTTGCAATGTAAATTGATTTGCCCAGAATTTAATTTCTGCTGAAGTATTTCTTTCTAAACCATTCTGCTAGGTCTATCTTTTTCTGACCAATCTTCAAACATTGTCCTTTCTGGTAGTTTGGTATGTATATCTGTGACTTGTCTTTCAATAACACTAATCTTCTTCAATGTGTGAGGAAGAAGAAAGTGGTAGGGAGGTCAATGGAAACTGAGAACATAAAATATGAAAATATTGGGAAAGAAATTATTTTATTAGTTTGATTTTTTGCTTGTTTTTTGCAAGTCTATACTGTCCAGAAAAACAGTACTGACATGTTTCTGGGGTGTATATTACCTCTTAATGCTTATTTTCTCAAATTTTAATTGGGAGCTAATGGAGCTTTTAAATCATACAAGAAATGAATTAAAATCTATTCATGAACATGGCAGCAACTCATACTCATGACTAGCCTTGTAGGACTTGAAGGACAAGAATCAGATTTAAGTTCCTTTCAATTTTCTGCCCTTGAGGAGTTATATAATAGTGTTTTGTAGAGGTTTAACCTTCCATTAGTTCAACCCATGTGATTAGATCTTGAAATGTACGATAGATGGATAGGTAGAAAAAGATTTCTGAAGGCAGTCTTTTCAAATTAGTTAAAACTAACTTGACAACTGTTTTACCAATGACAGAAACCAGGGAGTGATGAGGACAACCTCCAGCTTTTCCCAGGATGACATCATCCAATGGTTTAAAGAGGACCAGCTACCCCTGCGAGCTGGTTACCAGAAAACCTCAGATACCATTGCTCCCTGGTTCCATGGTGAGTACAGAGATGCCCTCAATAGGACTTCTTCTGATGGGCAACGAAACTCTGCGAATGCACTAAGAGGACTGGAAGAATAAAAGCTTCCTTTTGTTTACTGCCCCTGAGAGTCTTTCAAATTATTATTTTCACCCAATTTCTTCAGAAGCTTCTCAGTGAGCTGCATTCTCATGACTCAGTTAGAAAGCAGTTAGCATTCACAGTGGCTGGTCACTGTGGATTCATTTATCACCACAGGCTGGGTGGGAAGAACAGTACTTCCTATTGGCCTAGCACAAGGCCACTTAGTTGTAACTTCCATCAGATGGTAACTTCTTCATTTCACAGAAGGAAAGTCATTGTGGTTGTGTGGAAGGGTACAAACGGCACTATTTTTATAGTCTAAACGTTGTTGTTGTTAAGTGCCGTTGAGTTAACTGCCAACTCATGGTGACCTTGTAGAAGGTTTCCGAGAATCAGCTGCTAGGATTGAACTGCTCACCTTGCTGTTAGAAGTCTAGTGCTTTTCCTCCAGAGCCACATCAGGACTCCTGTCAAAAGGTTAGACTTAATTAAATAACATTTATGTTTCTGTTCTACCACCTACTTCATTCTGTAGTGCCTAGGGTCTTAAAAGCTTGAAAGTGGCCATGCATGGTATAAAACAGTTGGTTTCTGTTTTTCTGGAGCAAAGAGAAAGAAGGAAAGTCAGGAAGACAAGGAGTAAATGAAATGCATAGTTCATTGCCTGTGTGAACATTTGCCTCCAGGGCCATGAAAGCTCAGGGGTTGTTGGATGGTGCCAGCTACCATTACTGAATGTTTTGATCAAAGATTCCATAGAGAAATCCTAATCAAAAGAGGTAAAATGAAGAACATAACTCAAATTCTCTTGGGATCCAGATATTCTAGAGCTATGGAGAATAGATGGACCTTACACTATTGCCTTGAGATCATATTTACATGTGAAACCTTAAACCACACCTATTGCTTGAAGGCTTCCTTGAACCAAACATTGTTGTTGTTAAGTAAAGTGCCAGCTAGTCAGTTCCGAGCCAGAATGACTCTGTATAGGGTTTCCAAGGATCAGCTCTGAGCTGCTGATCAGGTGGATTGCAGTCCAGTGTTGATCCAACAGTGCCACACCAGCACTACAAAGGGGCTTTGTGCCTTTTTAAGATCAAATTGAGAAAACAACTTGAAAGGTTAGATCGGAAACTTAGGGGGCAGTGAATTTATGTTAATGGAGGAGGAAGAATTTAGAAAAGAAAGATGAGTATGGTTGCACAACTTCAAGAATGTAATCAATTGTACATGCAGAAATTGTTGAATTGGTATATATGTTCTGCTGTGCATATTTTTAACAACACAAAATAAATTATAAAAGAAAATAATAAAATCAGGCCTTAGACCCAAGCCTCACTAACCAGTTGAATAACCCTGAGCAAGTCATTTTCTTTCTCTGTAGCAAATCACTTAATTTCCTCATATACTAAATGGAAAACTTGAACTTTGTGATCTTTCATTTAAAAATCTGGTGGTTTTGATCCTTATTTCCAAGACTACAATGTGGATTTGTTGTGTCCTAAGCAGATACTCAAGCATGGCAACAGTAGTGAGGTTGGCCTAGGATCGGGCAGTGTTTCGTTCTGCTGTGTATGGGTCGATATTGACTTGATGGCACCTAACAACAACAAGATGCAGATACTAGCCAATGAACCATTTCTGTATATGACCCAAGAAACTTGATTAATTCAAGCTCTTCTGTCTCCCTAGCTCACACTTCACCAACCTCTCAGTTTCTTGGATTCAAGAATCAGATGTTTCTTCCTGCCTAAATTGGCTTCCATAGGTCTATGGTTGAACTGGACTAATTTGTTATATGTACAACAAAAGGTGCTTTACAACTAATGTTTCTTTACAAGGCATGTTTGTCCTAAGAGTGCCTTGGTTTAAATTATGTCTATGTTTAAGGCTTCTCTCTTTTTTAATGTTGTATCATCTCACACATAAATATATTCCATAAAAAATAAGCTCCATTACACATTGCATGGAAGACTTTTCCTGAAAATGATAAACGTTATTTGTGGTATGCTTCTGCTGAAGTGTTGTTTTTGCAGTCAGAACGTTTCAGCAGATTTGTCTGGCTTTCCCTGCAAACATTTGTTCTTGGGTGATTCAGGCTTTGGTAGTTGTCCATTTGCTTTGATAGTCATCCATTCCCAGAGGAGTTCCCTGACTCTTCTAGGACCTGGTCATAAGTTCCCTTCATTTCTGTTTGGCTCTAAGAAATTTGGAGAAAGAGTGACAACAGTGTCAAAAGAGGAACTGAAGGAGGGACTTGGCTCACTTATGTGTTAGCTGTGGCTCTCTCTGCTGCCTGATACTGTATTTTGTTTTCCTTTTTTAAGATGAGTACTGAGAAAATGAGCATGTCCTAGTTTCCGTGGCATTTTTCAGAAGATGCTGTCATACCTGATTATAAGGCTGTAGTTTTGTTTTTGTTTTTCTTAACAGCGGTGAGTAATAAACTGAAAATGATGGCTGATGTTATTTAAAAATCTAGTAATTTTGACAGGCAATTTTATTTGAAAGAGTTGCTGAAAGGAAGATGTAGTTGCACTAAAAGTTCCAAATTCTGTTAGAACTGGTAAAAAGTAAGACACTTGAGCTTCAAGTCTAGTAGTTTATTATTGTGCCATTGTTATTGATGTCTTGTTATTTATCCATGCATTTATCATACCCATAAACAAAATAAATAACTATAAGGACATAGCCATTTAGAAAATATAAATTTCATCTACAGTTTTAGGAAGATAATAAAATTTCATGTTTCCATGGTAATGAGAAGATGGATCACAGCTTCTGTCCTTGCAATATAAATGTTTCTTCTTCAGGGACCCTGTTTTGACATATGTATTTAGATGTAGCTCTTCTTTAAGGAGCACCCGTGGTGCAGAGATTAAGCGCTTGGGTGGTCACTGAAATGTTGGCAGTTTGAACCCACTCAAAAGTTCTTCATGAGGAAGATCTAGCAATCTGATCTTGTATGATTACAGCCTAGGAAACTCTCCAGACAGTTCAGCTTCCATCACATGGGGTTGCTATGAGTCAAAATTGATGTGACAACACGTAAAAAACAAAAAAGGAGTCCTGATGTGGTGCTGTGGGTTAATGTGCTGGACTGCAAAGTCCATTTGAACTGCAAAGTTGGCAGTTCAACCGCACCAGCTGCTCCTCAGAAACCCAATGCAGGATCTCTATGGGTTGGAATTGATTCTATGGCACCTAACAACAACAAAAAAACAAAGAAAGCTCCTTTTTTTTGGCTTGTCTTTTTGTTTATTTTCTTTATATTCCATAAATTACCTTTCTTAAGTTACTAATTTGGTCACCTGATTTTTCACCCCACACACATCACACTTTCACTTTTCTCTTAATTGAGAAGAACCTGAGTAGTAAATGCCAACAGTGTACTAAAATTTGAAATAATACATGAGAGATCAGAAGGCCCTTTTCCTTTTCCTAAGGTTACCATTTATGGTGTTAAGGAGTTGAGGATTTAAAGAGTCAGCTGGTCAACAAGTGTCTGCCCTGGACTGTGTTCAGTGCCACTGTTGAATTGCGGAGACTAAAGAGGAGAGAAAACACAATTTCTGACATCAAAAGCTTATTCATGTAGGGAGTCACGGGTGTGTAGTTAGAGAACCTTCAAGTGCTGTGAAGAGGTTTTCTACAGAGGTTGGCGGTAGAAGGAACGGAGGTGATTTTCACGTCAAGCGAACAAACGGTCCCATGAGAATTAATGTTGAATTTCTGACTGAAGCTTCAGGGGAATTCCCAAGGGAAAGTAGAAGAATCAAAGAATGTTAACACTGAAAAGCACACTAGAGTGGAGGTCTTTGGATGCCATGAAATCCCATGGCATGTGCTATATTCATGAAGTGTGTGCTCATTAAACTGCTCTATCCTTGGTTATCAGATCTGTGCTCTCCTGAGCACCTAGGGATGTACAGCTCAGAGTGTAGCCCAGATGATATGTTGACCACTTTGGGGAAGTAGGGCATCCCTATAAAAAGACTTATCTTTAGAGTCCTGGTGTGGTACTGTAAGATAAGCCCTGGACCGCAGATCACTTTGAAGCACAAGGTCAGCAGTTCAAATTTACCAACCACAGGGTTCATTATGAGTGGGAACCAATTTGATGGCACTTAACAACAATGGGAAATGAAACTCTGCAGAAACCTTGACTTCTTCAAGCAGTTTATCAGTAGGATATCCTCTGTAGCTATGGGTAAGTTATTCTGGACCTCAGTTTCCTGCTTTACAAATGAAGTTAATAATCTAATGGCAAGATTTCATTTCATGTACTTTGGACATGTTATCAGGAGGCACCAGTCCCCTGGCAAAGGACATCATGCTTGGTAAAGTAGAGGGCCAGTGGAAAAGAGGAAGGCCCCAATGAGATGAATTGACACAATGGCTACAACATTGCACTCATATATAACAACAGTTGTGAGGATAGCTCAGGACCAAACAGTATTTCGTTCTGTTGTGCATAGGGTTGCTATGAGCCGACTTCACTGCACGTAACAACAACAATCTGGTAGAACCCTGGTGGCACTGTGGGTTTGGCAATGGCCTGCTAAGCTGGTTGGCAGTTCAAGCCCACCAGCTGCTTAGGAGGGGAAAGATGAGGCTGTGTGCATCCATAAATGTTTACAGTCTTGGAAACAGGTTAGCTCTGAGTTGTGATCAACTCAGTGGTAGGGGGTTTGACTGTTGGTTTTGTGTTTTTTTCTAGGTTGGGGGAGATAGCATATGAGATAGGCATGAGACAGAATTGTTAAACCTTTGTCTTCTAATTTCTAAATGTATAATCTTCTGAATCCTATATTTGATTGTCTATTGTTTGGTTTTACTTTCTTAAGGCTGATTGTTTTCTTCTCCCTTTGTCACCCTGTATCTCCTTTCATCCCGTGTTCCCAAACGTCATGTTTTAGGTTAGGACTATACTG